GATAAAAAAGTAGTCTATGATGTCTATATCCACATTTTCAGGTAGTGCTTTTATTAACTATGTTTTTATATTTTTGTGACCTTTTCATAATAATCTTTAATATTATCGGAATGTATTATACTTCTTGTTCAGTTTTCTTCATATTTTCCGTCTCATTCTTGAGACAATAAAGTGTATTCTGATTGAATTGACAAGAATCTCTTTGGCGTACGACACCTACATTTTTTGATGATCCACTCTATCTAGCTGTCCCATTAATCCAGTCATTACAAAAAATCTGGAGCATGAAAATAATTGTTGAAATAAGCCATTCCGTTGCGAGCCATTCGAAGTGTAACATGCTTCGCCTGATGACAATTTTTGTTTCTCTTCGGCTGTGCCTCTCTCAAGATATAACAAACATCAAAGATATCCAGATTTTGAGTGAGTTGCCTTTGGAGAAACTTCTGTCTGTTAGGAGGGCGTTTCACGCAGAGGATAATCACAAGGAGAACAATGCAAGCGAGGACGTTTCGAGTAGTAGTTCGGTACCTCAGGCACTAGCTCTACAGGTGAGTTTCGAGTCACTATCAAGTTACCTCAAGAGAAATATCTATGTCTATACTTATATTATACTTTAAGACTTATAACCAGAAGGTCTACCTCGACAGGTCTACCTACTTCTAAACTAGGCAGTGATTGCATATATTGTATAACTGTTTTGGTTTGACAAAATGGTTTAGACTTTCGCGGCTGAGGCTTTCAGTGTCACTGTTTTTGAGTTTGAAAGCCGTGGATTTTTGGAATTTCTTCCTGACGTTTCGCTGGCGCGAGTCCCTAGCTTCTTCAGAGGTTTAACCATCATGGCTTGCTGTCCGATGACTAACTTTTAGGCTTCGTAAAGCGTATTTATGCCTTGTCAGGTAATCAGTTGTATTGGTACCTGTACTTGTACCTGCACTTGTACCTGTACCTGTACTTGAACCTGGAACATTAACAATCTTGCTGCCTGTTGTCATTCTGTTCGTTATTCTAGAATTCCTTAAAATGGGGTTCCATATTCGATTGAGGTTCACCGCTTCTTTTTTTCTGTTGTTGTTCTGTTTTCTTTCGTGTGTTTGTGGATCTTTATTGCCTCCCAAACAAAATTATGTGGTCTCCTTTACTAATTGCGTGTTCTGCCACAGCTGACTTGTCCGCTTGGCCTAGTTGCAGTTCCTTTTATGCTCTTTCACTCTTGTTCCCATGGGTCGTTTGGTGGTTCCGATATATACCTTCCCACAAGTGCACGGTATGCGATAGACCCCTGCTGCTGATAATGGGTCTCTTTTGTCTTTAGCCGACTTGAGGCTTTGTTGTATCTTCCTAGTGGGTTTGAAGAATGTTTCGATGACGTGTTTGCCCAATAGTTTTCCAATTCTGTCCGTGACCCTAGGGATGAACGGTTTCATGGCTTTCCTGATCTCGGAGGCACTGTATCCATTCGATCTCAAGGTCACTTCAAGGTATTTCAGTTCCCTTTCCAAATGTTCTGGACTCCTCTCTTTTAGCTAAGATAGTGGTTCGATAGTGCGTGCAGTATCTATCTGTGTGTGTGGGTTTCCGATACACTTTGTGGATTAGTCTGATACCACATCTTTCTACTAGTATATCTAGGAATGCTATCCGTTGGTCCTGCTTTTGGTTTGACCTCCATGACATTTGGAACCGATATACATCACAAATCGCCTCTGTATATTCTTTAATTGATCGATTATAATGTGATTAGGATTTCATATTCAAAGAATTGAATTGATGATTTTTACAATTTCATGCAATCAAATTATTCTTTGTTATGTTTACGAGAAGCAGATTTGCTCGACAACAGTTTTTCAACTTGTTGATATCATACTGAAGATAGTTACATTTAGTCATAATATCGGACTGAGTGTCTTTCAATCATCATCGTCAATAGGGAAAGACCCAGCACAGAGCCTTGCGGAACACTAGATGATGCTACAAATTCAATGGCACGGGTTTTCTCCAAAAAGATAAATGTCTCCGAAACGGATATAACAATGNAATGCGCTTACGCCTTGGCCTTTGTATTACATCACGAGGTGATCTGCTATGTCCAGCCTCATTTCAAGCGGTAGATTGAGGTGGACATTTCTGTTCATCCCCAGCCACTGCCTTAGATTGAGTTGAGCACTCCTGTCCAGCTTCGGGATTGGTTTTTGTTATTGTTGTTTCTGTTTTTGCGTTTGTTTCATTCATGTGTGTTCCCACGAGTAGCAAGAGAAGAATTGGTCACCTCCGGCAGAGTCCCGCATTACCAGAGGTAGGCTGATTACAATGAGGTTTCAACCAGTTCCCCAAAGGAATTATTCGTAACCGCATATCACCCTGCGGCCATTCCGCTGTCGGTACGATTCGTTACACCTTAGCTTGGTAGGCTGGTCCACGGCGGCATGTTTTGCAAAGGCTTTTGGGGAGTTTTAGTTCCCCTCACCCTACTTATTTCTGCTACTGACCAGGAGTCCGCCGACCACGTCCATAAGGCCACATTGACTTTCCGGATAGGGCCTCCAGTCCCCTGGCCGTTTCCCTATCCGCCCGATAGGTGGCCCAACCCACGGAAATTTCATTGATTATTCTATTAGTATTGTAGAGTCAACTAAATAAGGGTACAGTTTAGGAGTGGCTGCATTGCATATACTTGTGAATGTGACTTTTTAAAAGTATTTATTCTTTTACAGAGCAAAAAGTCAGCCAAAGACCGCGGGAGCTACCATCCGCACCCCTCTTACCACTACGAGGAAATATACGTCAAAGAAGACAAAAGTAAAGTTCAGACCATCTTCCAGATATCAGTGACAGCGCTAGCCTTTCTAGCTTTCGGAGGTTACTTACTGTGTTTACTCATCCACGCTATCAAAGGAAAACAAAACCCTACAACCACTAACAACGCTGTGGCTCAAGCAATGGCGACGTACCTGGCGACGAGAGTGAAAGTCAGAAGGAAGACCACAAGGAGACCTCAGAGGGTGAATCTGCCAAACAACTACAGAAGGAGGCCCAGACCGAAGAGGGATATTTTCCAGAATGAACTGGGGGAAGACGATATGTACTACGCGCTTCTTAATTTGTCTGAAGCATATACTAGTTATCATACTGTCGACTATACTCATTTCAATAGTTCTATCAATTACTGAAATCAGATTATGCTTTATTTTTAGGTGAATATGAATTCAATAATATAATACAATGATCACTTACCTGTTGCGGGGCGTGATAATTGGTTGATAAAGCTGGCGCGCCCTTTCGACTGTGTCGGGGCTGTATCAAAGACCAGAAAAATGTTGCACCTTCATGGATTTGCATCCACAATAGTCTATTCCATGGTTGTACTTTCTGCTACAAAGACGTCGTGGACTTTTGGATTTGGAGTGTTAACATGACAAAGTGGTACTGGATGGAACCTGTAGATTCTTCAGGAGTTGTACGTATCCCCTTCTGTGCATGGTTTGCGACCATGAGAGAGCAGGGTTTGGAGAATTTCTTTTTAGGGCAGCTTCACGAGCAAGTGATGAACGCGGTTTAGTTTTTAATACTATACGAGGTAGTCACAACTCTCTCACGGAGTTGGAAACCATCCAGCAAAAGGCCCATATGAAAGTCGCAAAAATCACTCCACTCCTGTTACAACAGATATGCTGCACATACTGTCAGCATGTGCAGCATATCTGTTGCATCGCCTGCATTGTCATGACTTGTCCTACTAGGTGATGTACCAATTAATAGATGTTTCTACTAGATAAATGTCTATACTATTTGTTTATTTTATTTCCTTAACTGTCCACTAGGTGACTTACCAATTAATTCAGGTTTTTAGTAGATATGACACGTGTTTCATTTATATTCGACCTTTGTCAATGACGTTGTATGACTTCAGACAATATAGTATATTCATCATTACCATTATTATTTTTTTTCACCGTAGTGTGCGCTGGTCAGGCCCTATCCCCTGAAGCCCCGATACATTCGGGAGGACGCGCCAGCATTATCAACCAATGACCACTCCCCACACCGTGGGGTAAGTGATCATTGGGTCCGAGAATCATGTGCCCTGAGCAAACGCAGTGAG